AAAAAAAATAAATAATAAAAAAAAAATAGTCTTGGAAGTTAGAAAGTCTTAAATCATCTAAGGATGTTGATTGGATCCAAAGATCATGGACATCTGTTAGATCTGCTCAGATCCCTAGGCTGTATTAAAGTATTAATGCCTTGCAATCCTGGACTTCAGGGCTAGAAACTGTCTGTGCAGTCCTTGTTTTGCATGGCATTAATTCAAATAATAAATGTAAAGGGGCTCTTTTTGTATATTTTGCTTGGAGATGCCAAATACAAATTTATAAACAGATTTGGAAACTCATAAAAGGATTTGATGTCAGATTTCTTTAGTCATGGAAAAAATAGTAACTTTAATTCCTATCATAAAAGCTGGCTTTAGGGGCCGGCCTGGTGGTGTAGCGGTTAAGTTCGCGTGCTCCGCCGCCAAGGCCCAGGGTTCGGATCCTGGGCGTGCACCGATGCACCGCTTGTCAAGCCATGCTGTGGTGGCGTCCCACATAAAGTGGAGGAAGATGGGCACGGATGTTAGCCCAGGGCCAGTCTTCCTCAGCAAAAAGAGGAGGATTGGCAACAGATGTCAGCTCAGGGCTCATCTTCCTCACAAATAAAAAAGAAAAAGCTGGCTTTATATCAGTTCAAAAGATCATCAGCATTTACATGGAAAAAATAAAAGAGCATCAACAAATGATTATACAGTGAGTGCTACAGGATTTTAGAGAAGGAAGGCATCACTGTGGCTGGAGGAGCTGGGGAAGGCTCCATGTAGGTGGTGAGACGGGCTGGGCCTTGAAGAGTGGGATTAAATGGACAAAGAAGTGAGGAAGGCATTTCCAGCAGGGATGTTGGTATGAGTCAGGCATAGAAGCTTTGAGTTATGCAGGCTGGATCCCAGTTGAGTTATGCAGGCTGGATCCCAGGAGTGAATAATATATATTCCTCATGAAATTGCTTCTTAAGAATCAAAACATTCCTAGGCTTTCAATAAAGTGAACCATAAAACTGGTCTACTTCAGTAATTAATGATTCACATCCTTTGTCTTTTCATGACTCTAAAAGCATATTTTCTTAATATATACTAGTTTCTGGTGTGAATGAAAATGTAAGGTCCCAATTTTCCAGTTTCCTAATCATTTTGAATCTTTCCCTTTAGCACCACCTGGTGGGCGCATGATTTTCATGACAATTTAGCATCTGCCTTCAATGTGTTTTAGTTGACCTTACTGAATTAATAATTCGTTGACTACCTCTTTTATCTTTTCATAGCTTGTAAGTGGAAAGATTTCTCTGTCAGAGATTTGGCTTTCCACAGACAGTATGGTTAGGGCCTTGGCTCTTCTCAGCTGTGTGTCTGTTTACAGTTATGCATCGCTTAATGATGGGGATACATTCTGAGAAATGTGTCATTAGGTGATTTCATCGTGTGAACATCATAGAGTGTACTTACACAAACCTAGATGGTATAGCCTACTACACGCCTAGGCTATATGGTACTAATCTTATGGGACCATCATGGTATATGCAATCTGTTGTTGACCAAAACGTCGTTAGGCAGTGCATGACTGTATTGTGTTCCTGACTCTTGTCAGACATTTTTAACATGTGGCCGTAATCCATTGTTTGTGAGTGCTAAGGCACAGTGGTGCCAGGTTGTAGCTAGTGCTAGATTGACAAGGAACTTTGGATAGTTTCCAAAGTTTCTGTCCAAGACTTGGTAATTTAGGCTGCTTGCCTGTTATTTCTCTATCCTCTGACTAAGAAATATAGTGGAAAAATTAGAGTTGGAAGAGATCTTAGGAATCATCTGGCCCCATGCCCACATTTTACAGGTGTTTAAGAGTAAAAAGCATGCAAACCACAGAAAAGTCCTTCTTGCTAAAAAATGCACCTCATGGGGGCCGGCCCTGTGGCTTGGTGGCTAAGTGCGCGTGCTCTGCTACTGGCGGCCCAGGTTCGGATCCTGGGCGTGCATTGATGCACCGCTTCTCCGACCATGCTGAGGCCGCGTCCCACATACAGCAACTAGAAGAATGTGTGACTATGACATACAACTATCTGCTGGGGCTTTGGGGAAAAAAAGGAGGAGGATTGGCCATAGATGTTAGCTCAGGGCTGATCTTCCTCACAAAAAATAAATAAATAAATAAATAAATAAAAATAAAATAAACTTTAAAAAATGCACCTCACAAATGGGCATTATCACCCAAGTCAAAGAGTAAGAACAATTAGCATCCACATTCCATTTCTAGAAAACAGGAGATGAACTAGGTGTGGTGTTCTTTGCTTTCCTCACTAAAAGGCTTTTGGCAGCTCATGCCAAGTGTAAAGGCTGCCTTACTTCTAAGATTGGTAGCCTGGCAGCCTGTGCATTCAAAGTATGGATCTTTTTCAACTTGGGCTGGGAGAGTCTGACTTGGCCCTGAGATTTGTGGTATGGCCTTTGTTAAGGGGTGTGGTCATGTGAGTTTCTGAGAGCATCCTGAATCTTGGCTAAATGGATTGTATTCCATTTAAGGAATTGATTAGCTTAAGTTCCCAAAGAGTTGAGTGTAAGGTGATCCATATGCAGAACATCACCGAAATGTGACTAGGGAGATGGAAGAGTAGAAAGAACATAGACACTTGAATTCAAATACCTGTTCCCTTACTTAACCAGCTGTATAACCTCGGGCAAATTACTTAACCTCTCTGAGACAACTTTGTTCCCATTCATAGTGCGGCAAGAGGATTAAGTGAGGTGACATGTAAAAGCTCTTAGTTTAATTCCTGGCACAGTGCAGGGACTCAGTTCATTTCTTTCCCTTTCTACCTTCCCGCATTAAGGAGGTTGAAGATTTTCCTAATCTGTGAGTAAATATACATGTGTCTAAGATTGATTAATCTGAGATTTCCTGAGGATAGGGACAGAGAATAAAGTCAGAGGTCCTTTTCTGAAGGAAAATGTCTATTGTTCCATTTAGTATAGGCTTTCTTGAAAATATGTGGTTTTAACTGGGATACTTGTATTAGTTTAGAGTTCCTAGCTCAGAATCTTAGGATGGACCATCAAATTGGCTTAAAAAGGAACTATAGGGTGTAAAAGGGGTATATAAATTATTGTGAATATATTAGTTAGCATTCTTTATGTGTGCTGGGGAGTAAAGTGTCCTAAATAATAAAGGGAATTTATTTACTCATATTTAGGAAGGGCTTGATTCTGCAACTCCATATTTGCCACTCAGGATCTCACTTCTCTCATTCTTTCATTCAGGCTCCACTGACTTCCTCTTCTACCAAAGCTCCATGCTCTCCTCTCCAGGTCACAAAATGACAGTTGCACTTCCAGACTTCTCATGCCCTTACACCACCAAGGGGAAGAGAGGCCATCTCTCCTGTAGCTGCTATAGAAGAGAAAGAAAGCATCGCTTTCTCAGAGGGTCTCACAACCTGTCTCCTGACACTCACTGGCTCCATTTGGTTTATATGCTCATCCCTGAACGAGTCACTATAACTGGGGGGTGGAATGCCTTGATTGGCTGAAACCAGTCAAGGCCTATCCCTGGAGCAGGGATGGAATTAATCTTAAACAAACCACATGCTTAAGAATGGGAGAGTAAGGGTTTCCCAAAGGGCAGCTGGGATTCTTATTCCAAAAGGAGGGGAAAGTTGCTAAGCAGCAAACCGCAGTGATCTGCTTCAGCCGGTAATTCAAATTTTGAGCTGTGAATTAATAAAGCCTTTTGTTATGGTTGCAGGGATCATCCATGTATCATGTGGACTGGAGGCTGCAGGAGAATTCCAGTTTTGGTGTTCCATGCTGATGCTATTCTGACAAAGGACAACAATATTCGAGTAATTGGAGGTGGGTATGACCTCCCCACAGAGGGCAGGGCTCGGTGTGGCCCTGAGAACCTTGTCTTGCAGAAATTGATATCCCATATAGATAGAGAAAGGGCCTTGGTCATGAAAAAATCCACTGATTTGTTATGCTTGAAAGGATTAAGATTTCTTTGGTTGTTTTCTGCATATTAAATTTTTTTTTTTTTGTGAGGAAGATCAGCCCTGAGCTAACATCCATGCCAATCCTCCTCTTTCTCCTCTTTTTGCTGAGGAAGACCAGCTCTGAGCTAACATCTATTGCCAATGCTCCTTTTTTTTTCCCCCCCAAGGCCCCAGTAGATAGTTGTATGTCATAGTTGCACATCCTTCTAGTTGCTGTATGTGGGACGCGGCCTCATCATGGCCGGAGAAGCGGTGGGTCGGTGCACGCCCAGGATCCGAACTTGGGCCGCCAGTAGCGGAGCGTGCACACTTAACTGCTAAGCCGTGGGGCTGGCGCTATTAAATTGTTTTTCCTCTCTGATTTTTTTTTTCAGAATTATGTGTACATGTATTTATTTATTGTTATTTTTTTAATTGTGATAAAGTACACATAAAATTTACCATTTTAACCATTTTAGAGTGTACGACTCAGTGGCATTTAGTACATTCACAGTGCTGTGCAACCATCACCACTGTCTAGTTCCAGAACATTTTCATCATCCCAAAAGTAAACCTGGTACCCAATAAGCAGTCACTACCCTTTCTCCCTTGTCCCCAGTACCTGGCAATCACTAATCTACTTTCTGTCTGTATGAATTTTCCTATTCCAGATATTTCATATATAGACCCATACAATATGTAGCCTTTTGTGTCTGGCTTCTCTCACTTAGCATAATGTTCTCAAGGCTTATCCATATTGTAGCATGTATCAGTACTTCATTCCTTTTTATGGCTGAATAATATCCCATTGTGTGGGTTTGCCACATTTTGTTTATCCATTCGTCAGTTGATGGATGGTTGTTTCTACCTTTTGGCTATTGTAAATAGTGCTGCTAAGAACATTCATGAACAAGGTTTTGTTTGAACACCTGTTTTCAATTTCTTTGTGTATATACCTAGGAATGGAGTTGCTAGGTTGTATGGTAATTCTATGTTTAACTTATTAAGGCACTTCCAGAGTTCCTTAACTGTCACTTAACTTATTAAGTGACTGCAGCGTTCCCACCAACAATGTATGCGAGTTCCAATTTCTCCACATCCTCACTAACAATTTTTATTTTCTGTTTTTTGATTATAGCTATGCTAGAGGGTGTGAAGTGGTCTCTTATGGTGGTTTTGATTTGTATTTCCTTAATGACTTGTAACAGTGAGCATCTTTTCATGTGCTTATTAGCTATTTGTATATCTTCTTTGGAGAAATGTCTATTCAAGGCTTTTCCTATTTTATAGTTGAGTTGCTTGTATTTTTCTTGTTGAGTTATGAGTTCTTTATACATTCTGGATGCAAGACCCTTATCAGATATATAACTTGTAAATAGTTTTTTCCATTCTGTGGTTTGTCTTTTCAGTCTCTTGATAACGTTCTTTCCTGAGCAAGTTTTTCATTTTGATGACGTCAGTTTATCTATTTTTTCTTTTGTTGCTTATGCTTTTGGTGTCATATCTAAGAAACCATTGCCTAACCCAAGGTCATGATCCCTATGCTTCTAAGAGTTTTATAGTTTAAGGTCTTATATTTAGAGCTAAATGGTCTTTGATCCATTTTGAGTTAATATTTTTATATAGTGTGAGATCATTCTTTTGCATGTGGATACCCAGTTGGATTAGTTGAGGAGACTGTTCTTTCCCTGTTGCGTAGTCTTGGCACTGTTGTTCAAAATCAGTTGACCACAGATGTATGGGTTTATTTCTGGACTCTTAATGTTCCATTGATCTCTAGTACATTTATCCTTATACCAGTGCCATATTGTTTTAATTACTGTACCTTTATACTAAGTTTTAAAATTGGGAAGTGTAAGCCTTCTAACTTTGTTCTTCTTTTTCAGAATTTTTTGGCTGTTCAGTGTCCCTTGCAATTCCATTGAATTTTAGGATCAGCTTTTCCACTTCTGTGAAAAAAGGCTGTTGGGATTTTGATAGGGAGTGCATTGAATCTGTAAATCACTTTTGAAAGTATTGCCATCTTAATGTTAAGTCTTCCAGTCCATGAATATAGGATGTCTTTCCATTTATTTGGGTCTCCTTTAATTTCTTTAGCAATGTTTTATATTTTTCGGTGTATAAGTTTTGGACCTGCTTGGTTAACTTTATTCCTAAATGTTTTATTCTTTTTGATGCTATGTATTATAAATGGAATTATTTTCTCAATTTCATTTTTGGATTGTTCATTGCCAGTGTGTAGAAATACAATTTATTTTTGTATATTGATCTTGTATCCTGAAACCTTGCTTAACTCATTTATTAATAAGCTCTAATAGTTTTTGTGTGTGTGTATTTTTTAGGATTGTCTACATATAAGATCATGTCATCTGGAAACAGAGATTTGACTTGTTCCTTTCCAACCTGGATGCTTTTTATTTCTTTTTCTTGCCTAGTTGCTCTGACTAGAACTTTCAGTACAATTTTGAATAGAAGTGGTGAAAGTGGGCATCTTTGTCTTGTTCCTGATCTTAGGGGGAAAGCTTTCAGTCTTTTACCATTCATTGTGTTAGCTGTGGGTTTTTCGTAAATGTCATTTATCATGCTGAGGAAGTTTTCTTCTCTTTCTTTGTTGAGTATTGTTATCATGCAAGGGTGTTGGACTTTGTCAGATGGTTTTTCTACATCAATTGAGATGATTCTCTGTTTTTTTTTCCCCTCATTCTGTTACTGTGGTATATTACATTGGTTGAGTTTTGTATGTTGAACCACCCTTGCATTCCTGAGATAAATCCCACTTGGTCATGGTGTATAATCATTTTAATATGCTGCTGGATTTGGTTTGCTAGTATTTTGTTGAGGATTTTTGCATCTATATCCGTAAGGGATAAATGGTCTGTCGTTTTCTTTTCTTGTGATGCCTTTATCTGGCTTTGGTATCAGGGTAATGCTGGCCTCCTAGAATGAGTTCCCTCCTCCTCTTTGGAAGATTTTGAGAAGGATTGGTAAGTGTTAATTTTTTTAATATTTGGTAGAATTCATCCAGTCCTAGCTTTTCTTTGTTGTGAGGTTTTTGATTACTGATTCAACCTCTACTTGTTATAGGTCTATTTGTATTTTATGTTTCTTATTGAGTCAGTTTTGGTAGTTTGTGTGTTTCTAGGATTTTGTTCATTTTATTTAGTTTACCTAATTTGTTGGCATGCAGTTGTTGGCAGTATTCTGTTATAAGGCAAGGTCAGTAGTAATGTCCCCACTCTCATTTCTGATTTTAGTAATTTGAATCTTTTCTCTTGTTTCTTAGTCAGGTGTGTCAGTTTTGATGATCATTTTCAAGAGCCAACTTTTTGTTTTGCTTATTTTCTCTATTGCTTTTCCATTCTCAATTTCATTTATCTCCACTCTTTGATTTTAAGCAGTGCTCTGAATCCTGAGGCTAGCCTATAATTATCTTCAAAGGTCACAGTACTATGGATCAGAACTGTCGTGTGACAATAGTGGAAAGACTCTATAAGTGGGTCATTGGTTCTGTACTGAGGTCATTGGTTCGAATCCCAGCTTTGGCGTTTACTAGCTGTGAGTCATGGGCAAATCACTTAAACTCTGTTAACCAATTTCATTATTAGTAAAATGGAGATAATAGCTACCTTGAGGCCTTGTGAGAATTAAAAGTGGGCGCTCAGAACTTGTGCTGCTTACTTTACTTGTTGAACAGGATCTGCTCTACTTTGAAATGACTTTAATAAGCCAGGAGTCCAGAGGACTGGTGAGCACCTGCTTCTGGGATTTGAATCCTCCTCCCTCCCTAAGGGTCCTTGTGTTCTAATCCCCTCAGCAAGTTGCTAGGTTACCATTTAAAGGGACATGGTTCATTCATATTCTCTGAAGCCTAAGTAACTGAAGAATTGCTAACATTTGCTGAGAAACTCCCTCTAAATATGATTTGAATCAAAACGTGAAAGGTGGGTAAAGACAACAGAAGTAAATAATCCCCCCAGACATACTTCTTTTAATCCGCTTATCTGTCACATAAATGAATCTGTGTATTCCATGGCAATAGGCAGACCCTTTTTAGAATATTTAACATTTATTGGAAATTAGTATCCATCAATGTAGTCATCCCATTATTCAAGTAAGCACTGTTTTCTAGAACTTATAAGTCTTTGTTTTTCTCTTTTACATATTCTTGTGATTAAAGAATAGGCCACTAAACTTTTTTCTCAATCTCTCTGCTTTTAAATTTTCTGTATCTTTCCAATTCCTTTTAGGTTTAATAATTTTTTTCACCTTTTTTATGAAAAGAACACTTTGAGTGACTTTTGCTAGTTGCTGCCCTGATGTCTGAATTGTTGAACACTTGGTCTATTTTTTTTTTTTTTTTGGCTCTTTTAAATAGCTGACATAGATCTGCTCAGATCATAATCCTGTGGTGAAATCCCCTTGAGAAGTTTATCTGGGGCATTAGTTATCTTCTGTTGATCTTATAGTGTTAGAGGCCAACCTTGTTTTTTCTGTTATGTGTTAAATGTTTCATTGAATTCACTATTAATATGTTTGGTACAATATGATTTCATATGCTTTATTTGTGAAATATTCCAGGAATGTGTTTTTTCTTGTTAGTTATATATTGTTATAGGTATATTAAAATTTCGATTTCTTCTTGAGTCGGCTTGGGTAATGTGTTTCTTTCCAGGAATGTGTTTTTTCCTCACAATATCCATGTTTTTTTCAAAATAGTAAAATAGTATGGTCTTTAAACGTGTAAATGGGATTGCATTTTAGAGGCAACAAAGATGTTTTCAGTTTAAAGTAATCTTTTCCTAGAATGAAGTAGCATTTTATAATTTGCCTCTGAATGTGTTAGTTACCTAAGTTTCTATTTATATAGACTAGCACTGTCCA